TAAATATAATATATATGTGCCATTCAACCTGCGCGGCCTCCGAACATAGACAGTGACAAACCGCGCTTAGTTAAAGACTGTCGCTCAGCGTTTGTTCCACAGTTCACGGGTCTTTATTAGTCAAGAAATACTAGAAAATATGCTACTAAATCTGCCTTTTGTTAAATTTAGACTCCCAAAGATATTTTTTCTATGTGCCAAAAAGCTAACTGATATTATCGTTTCGAATATGAAGTAGCTGCTACGAATTTATCTTTTTTCGTTGATTTATTTCGATCCGAAGGGGCTGCTTATAATTAGGCGCTAAATAAATGTTCGGGTGACCTTAAAATGAACGTTGATGGGCGAGCCTCGTGTGGCTATATGATGAAGTTGTCCATTTGCATATGCTTGACGCCTCACATACTACAAAAGAGGACAAACGAAGAGCCTGCCGAGAAAATCGATATAGGCTCGTAGCGCCGTTCGATGCTTTGGAAATTTTTAGATGTACATGGGGATACAAACGTTGAAGAATGGTACCTCTAGGGTGCGTTGAAAGTTTTCGTTTTTTTTGGAAAGCTAGGAGAACAGTGTAAGCCTTGTTAATGCGGCATGTAGAAAAACGTTCTATTCTTCTAATGGCTACGTTAAATGTACGCTGAAATAAAAATATTAACCAATATCAACTGCAGACTCAATCAACAAAAGTTTTAGAATCGGCTGCTCTGGATATTTCGTTAATATAGACTAAAGGAACCCTTTATTTTTCTCATATTCGCTACAATAAGATGCGTTGGTTGGTCGAAGAGTTGGTTGAAAGGGTAGACCGATAATGGTTGAGCCATACACATTTGATCACCCGACTTGTCGCTAGAGTTACCGAACTTACAAAGCCATGCATATATATCTGTAACACTGACTAGATTAATATGATCCAATCAGCATAAGCGAATCAACATTGTCTAGAGACACTCGGATAAAGAACCCATTGAAGAAAAGTCGACCTGCACAAAAAGAAACCCGCTATTAACGCCGATGCCACTCTTCCGTACATGCGCAATGCTAAGTCTTTATTATCTTGACGCACACATCTAAGAGGCAATCAGTGGACTATGCGCGTTCTCAAGCCAGAGTGACTGGGTATCTAGGGTGAAGAAATATAGAATAAAGCTAATAATAGTCTGCCACACTGTGATAGTGATTCAATCCAAAATAGTTTACATAGCACAAATGCATGAATAAGCTCTAGAAGAACAAAGAAACATAGTCCTGCAGGTGAAGCAGTTAGGCTTTACTTATCCATCGTCATTTTGGAAGTCTAAACACAGAAAAATATCGTTTTTAAAGCATTAACACCTATAATGGTAGGATGGCTGCGTTAAATACGATACATTTGAGATTATTTGTATACGATACACTGGACACTTTCAAAGATTTCTTGGATGTTAAAGTACTAGAAGATATACAAATGGTTGCAATAGAGGGGCGATTTAACTGTGCAACAAAAGCATCCTTACACCGTTCCTATCTCTATAATACTATGTCATAGGATTAGTATATGTTTAACTGTAACAACCACCGCACGACAGCTGTAGTCATTTAAATCTACTTCTTTTTTTTACAGCATAATATTATAGGAATATATAAATGGGCTTAGGATGCCCTTCCACAAACGTATTGCGTAGTGAGTTTTGTACTTCCATGTAACGATTTGCGTATCCCTTTCTGCTTTAGTAGGCAAAATGAAGATTCATCAACTGGCAGGAAGTGTTTTCAAGCAATGTTTGGGTAGTTTCGTGTAACTTTGATGAAAGGTTTAGAAAGTTAATATTGCAGGTATATTATAGTATCAAATTAGACTAAACTGGACTAGTCTACTTCTTCAATCACTCTCAAAACGCTGTGTCTACAATGCTATGTTATTTGACTCTCGGGTCTGGGGTTTCCTCCAGAGCCATTGTTGTATCTTTATAAATCTCTTCTCGAATTAATATTTACGTACGCTATTGTAGTTTTGGGAAAAGCATTTTCTCTCAGGGCTGGCTATCTTTATACTAGCAAAATTCACCCGTACATCATCATAACGAGTATGGCATTGTTACCCTTCCAAGTGTGTATACACTCGAGGTCTGATGCACAGATTAATGTATGCATACGTCACAAACTAAACTGCAGATTTCTTAGGAATAGCCATTGGAGGACCATAGCTCAATCAATCGAGTGCAGAAATTACTCCACGGGCTATCTACACAGATACATTCTGAACTTTTTGAAACCCTACATCCGTTGCATCCGAGGCTCAAAGTTGAATTAGATATCGCATGTAACAAGTTGATACCGATGCTGCCCTGTTGCTGTTGTTATACTACGTAGGACTGTCATAGGGTTCTTGATTGATCTTAGTTTATTCGAACTGATGAGGCCTTAGGGCTTGTATGTTTTAATCAAATTTATTTAAAACTTTAAACATTTGATAGTATGTTTAATCGTTTAGCGAGTTAAACTGGCAAAGAAATGAGCCACTTTGATAGCGTCAGATGAAGCTTGTGGTAATGGCCTGTTTTTTGGAAATCGAAAAAGGACTCTTCGAACGATTGCTGAATTGCTATAATCACGTATATTTCTCGCATGTGTGACATCAAGTATTGTTACTTCAACAAAAAAAGCAAGTGTGGTATAAGTCGATAGCCGGATCGCTTGCATTAAAACTTCGGTAAATGGAAGGGTTTGCAATTCTAGACAGGCATAAGCTCTAGGCGCCTTGTTCAGAGTCATATGGACCTCGTCGCAAAGTGCTAAGGCTTGCGTTCGTGCAATCGAGGTCCAGCATTCTCGGTCTTATATTTCAACAATATTTCAATATTACAAGATCTTATATGAACCAACGGGTTATCAATAGATGATTTCATTCTCATAAACTGTTGAATCACTAGCCATATTTTCTAAAACGCGCCCTCCCTATTTGGCCCAATGTACAACCCTTGTCGTAAGGTCGCCAGGTTAATTTCTCTAAAAAGTCATCATATTAATCTAGATCCCTTAAGCCATACTGGCTTGTAACTAAATATTTATGGCACATATCCGAAGTTTGACAGATTTGCGGTCAGAAGCTTCTCTTTTGAATCGTTACCGCATTCACGAAGCAGACGTAGATATATATATATATATATATGCTTCCCACGTTCTGAAAATGATGCTATTGAATTGCGTTCTGCTTAATCTGACTTTCTAGAATAAGCGGCACGGTTTCAAAAGAATAATAGCTATTCACAACGAGCACACATATGTTCAGGCCTAATTTCTAGCAATTTGCAGAAACACAGTTTATTTCCTGTCTGCTATAAGCGAATCTTTGTAAAAGCATATTACTCGACTGCCGACACAATGTTTATATATATATATTATATACAGTATATAAACACATAATAGACGAACACATACATATAGCAACTTACGGAATATTACTTTATTTCTTAAGTTGCATTTGGGAAAAACACGGTATAAAGCAATAAAGTAAAAAGCCAAAATGAAGCTCTCAAGGTAAGCTGCTGAGGGCGTAACATGTACTGCACCGTTTAGCAGCGTCACTTCTATTATAGAGCGTAAAGTTCAACAAAGTTAATCTCTCGAGACATGTTTAAATGGCACGTCAAACGTGAGAACTTAATGTGGACAGACACTGGACTTTAAACATTTTGCAAAGAACGATCTAGTGGGAAATTCCATCGAAACGCATCAAATCATATAAGAGAAATCAACAACCTTTAATATTTTTTTTCCCTAAAATCACTTATTGTTGGGCGTAGTGAATGATGACAGCCGCGCATGCAGTAGTTATTCAAACGAGGAAAAATCTCAAAGTAAAATGAAAGATGCTAATAATACAAAACACATAGATATCGTTACGTTGTTTGGTATGCGATAACGCTCCAAATTCGCGCAGAATAATATATATATATTATGTTTTATTATAGAATGTATAAACGAATATTCAAAAGGGATTTCTAGTTCTAGCTGAAATTTGTCAAGAGTACATTGACCAGGCCTGTCATTCAAAACGTAATCCACTTTGATCTTGTACCCAACTTGTAGGCCGGCCTACTCGTGGCATCCCCTCACAAAATATCTGGCCCTCTCCAGCGCTCTGCGGCATAGGATCTGTTCATTATAAAAGCTCCCGTGAGGCAGTTGCCTCGATACCGGACCATAGAATACATTCACCTGGTCAAGCAACCGTGCGAGAAGGTACTTTCATTAGCCTCTGCCCAAAAAAGCAGCTTCGTATGAACGGCGGTGTATTGTGATGTTTGTGCTCGCGCCTCGTTTCGGCGATTTGTGAAGAAATACTCGAGTAGATGACGCTTGTAGCACAAGTTTCAAATACCGTTTTGATTTGATCTCGTGAAACATTTACTTGCCTTAAGTGATATTGTCGTTTAGTTGTAGCTGATGTGGTTTAGTTAAATTGTGGTGCACCATTTGATGATACCTACAGTGCTTAGAATAACCCAGAAACGCTAGTTATCTCTTGTGAACAATTCGTATTGCTCAGATTATATTCAGTATATATACAATTTATAATGGCTCGGATATTATTATCACCAAATAATAATCTAATTTTACCGGTTCTATAGTTAAGCAAAAATGTATGCGTCTGTATTGTGTGCACCAGCCGCTATACTCTCACCTGTTTGTTACATTGAATACTGAACTTCATACGTTGTTATTTCTAGCAGCAGTAATGTTTGTGTCAATTGGATCAATCCTACGAACGCACAACAGTAACGACGCGTATGATTTTAAATTGCCGCTTCTTTTGTGGGTATGGATCATAATAATCTTCACACTTTAGGCAATTAGGTTGTATTGATGTTAGACGTTTTTGCCTGTGCGTCGAGTTGATGCCGAAGCAGGCCAGGAACCGAAGACGCTAAAAGCCTATCCGCCTATAACGCTGGAATCGCTATAATTATTTGTTATCATCCATATGCTTATTATTTCTGGTATTGTCATCGATTCGTTAGCTGAGTGGTGATGAAATTTTACATCATTTCCTGCGAATCATTTTCCAGCAGTGTCGGCTTGTTTACCAATTAGAACAGGGAGGATCGGCCTTTATGTATCTGACGCACTCTTATCTCATTATCCGTACCTCGGCCGAATGGCAGGAAGTGAGAAATGGGCAAACAATTTCACGGCGTCTATGCCTCTAAGCATTCGGTTTGCCTATTCCGCCCTCGCCTTTATTGTCCGTGATGTAATACGCACTAAAAGCTAGTTGGCTTACCTCATTTGTTCAGTCGTCTGTAGTACAATCTGTTCTTGAAGTCTATCAATGCAGCTGTCAGTATTTGTATTTTCACTACGACAGAAGCCCGATAGTCGAATACTCATGACGACTGTCTCGTCTGTCGCATCGCATCGTTACCCCCTACCAAGTGTAGCATGTGCCAATGAGGTTAGCGATACTAATTCTGACTAATTGTTAAAATTGATTTTGAATCTAGGTACATAGCACTATTAAACAGAATCAATACGAGCGCACCTATGGGTGAACAGGTTCATTTGATTGTCATTTTAAAAAATAGTCATGCGTTCTGTTGCATGAGTCATATCATTGGATTAACATCAATTCTATCTTTTGGCGTTCCCTTTTCGACTACTGGCATCTGCTGTCTACGGTCGACGGATGTCCCGCACGATCGTCTCTGCGGCCAGTAAAGATGACGAAAATAGGACTCACTCTACTTTCTGTAATGGCGTTCTCGCTCGTGGCTGTTCAGGGCGATGAGCCGTCACAGTGGGATAAGATCGGAGCCAAGCTCTGTAAGTTACTTTCAGTAAGAACAATTTTTTCTCTCAATTGAATCTCTTATTGGAAATTAACAGAGAAATTTCAAATAATTTTCCTTAACAATTTGCTAGTTAGTTGTAGAACATAGATTTTGTGCTGTGGATATGTTTACAGTTCGACATTCGCCAAACAATCGAGACAGACTGCTATAGTAATAGAGATAATTTATTTTTCTATGAACATTGATATATAGATGCATAGAGCGAACATATACATACGTGTCGATCGTTTTATTCCTTTCGACTGAGTTGGCAGCGGTTTGATCCGGAAACACTTGTTACGTTTAAGCGCTAGCATAGCGGCAAATGTTTACTCTCTGTGGCAATAAATAAGGCAGCCTATGACAGGCAGCGATAAATCCAGTCAGAAAAAGTTATTGTTATTACTATCACGTTTTCCGATAATGAGTCAACCATTATAATAATAATGACAGTCATTATCATTACCCTATAATTCTCCATATGAACGTACCTGATTAACTGACAGCTAAGATATAATACATGCTGCCACACCTATGACTGCCTATGCCAATGCAGCATTGAGTGAAGATAGCGATATTCGCCACTAGGCCCTTTACTAGCCTTATTTTTTAAAGTGTAACAAAAACTTGATCCCTGCTGGTGCAGAACGGCACAACTTCGCCCTAAGCTGCTCTGAGAACCAATATGTATTTTTTGGCGGATTTACGAACATCTCGCCGACAACACTGAACGAAAAAGAGGGCAAGCTGCTTCGCCTGACAAGCTATTCTTAAGTTTCAGATCTTCCTCATTGCTACACAGTTTATAATTATAAAACGCTTTTACAATAGCTATTGAAAGCAGCTAGCTAAATTTTCTCCTCCCAAACTGACTCTCGACGCATGACGACGTGAAAATTTACGTCTAGCAAATTCCGTGTTGACTGCGCGTTAATACGCCACGGATCTGCTTCGTCTAGTTCCGGCTGTTCATTTTTGCTATAAAAGACTGTTCGAAAACGTCTTTCTTTGATGATCTCGAGACAAACGTGCTGTTCCAAATGTAAAGCGTAGGGTTTTTAAGAGTAGATTACATTTCTGTTTAGACCACTTTTAGTAGATAAGGTCATGATTGTAAACAATTTATAAAATTGCTTTTATCCTTCGAAGAGAAAAATTTAGCATTTATGAAGTGTTTGGTCCATTGTCAATCAGCCGGCTTTGCTCTTATCGCAAGAAGACCAATTGCTCTTGCATATGGCCACTAGAATCAAGGCTTCGCGTATTTAAAACAGCTTGTGTAATACGTATCGTATAGCAAATAAGCTTCGCATTGTCATAAATAGAGTTAAAAAGAGCCGCATCGAAATAGAGTACATTGACATCTTCACAAACACTGGCTTGAATCCTGGCTGCATTACTGCTCCTTGCAGGCATTATACATTCAAAGTGAGCGTTTTAGCAAAATAGAATTTTTAATTCCATCACACATGCTCATAGTGTAGCTTGAACCAGAACAGATCGGTTGGCTAATATGATTGCATCGCAGTCATTTGAAGGTGCGTTAGACCGAAACGTCAGCATCAGTAAATAATACATGTGATAAAGAACAGTTTTTACCAATTCGATTGTGGACGTTCATTCAACACACTGCCCACGACGTTAATGTATGCGGCATTTGAACGACGCAACGCATCGCATTCATGGTAGCGCTCTCAATAGAGAAGAAAAAAACTCCTACCGGATCTCGTGTTGACCGCGCATTAACACTCCGTGACAACTCCGGAGTCTTACATAACTCTTGAAATTACTACGCGGTGCCTAACAGGAAGACAGCGTATCATCAGCCAATTGCCCAGAAGGAAAAAGACACGGGACAGTGTAGAAGGCTAATCGATCTAAGCGATTACCACTATCTAGATAAGACCATCGCGGTGCCCCTATGCCCCCATGGGCTTCTTGTGTCATCTAACGTTTACAAAATATCGGCATGGTGTGCTTCTCGACACATCGTTACCCGATTATCAGCGCTGAGAGTGCGAGTTATTAATCCCCTAAATACACCGAAGCAAATGGTCGTCTGTTCAGTTTAGTCGGCTTTTACATGAGTATAACAATAATATCGAACCTAATGAACCTTTGAGAACTTTTCGCCGGTAGAGACGATGAACACGCTTTAACGGGCGTGACGCGCCCGTGGGGCGACGTTTCAATTAGGAATCTCTTAGGAGCGTAGCATGCCTACATTTTAAATGTGCAAAATATGTTGTTTATTTAAAAACTCAGTGTTTCACCTTGAGCACACTTACTAATATAGCAGTTGATCACAAGAGCAATGACCTCTGCGAGATTTAAATGGTAGTTGATATATCATGTGGATTGTATCTATTAATTGACAAATAACTTGAATATGGACATAGCGAACAAAGCAACGTATAAACAGTGACAAATGCTATCTGCTGCGTCGTCTTTTCGTAGTCGTCTATATAAAACCACCCGTAAGCGGCATTATGGGCTGGCTGTATGCTGGTACTATAGCCTATGAGGCGCTGTGAACGATCTTATTAAGCTATGTCCAATATAACTGTGGTTCGAGTAAGTAAGGACGGTCAGTTCTTTACGAACTGCACTTTTAGCCCGGAATTATTTTATTAAAACCCATTAGTGCAAACTGTCTCCAACTGGTACCAGACCAGCGTCCTCTCGTGATCATCATAAATATTTCTAATATAATTCTGTATATTAATTTAACCTTTACAAACAAACCCTGAGATAGATTAGATATTGTTCGTTTTATGTTTCGGTATACCAGTTGCTGTGTTAATTTAGGAAATTTTAATAATTTAGGAAAAAATTCATAGATTGACAACTCAATGAACATTATCATGTATTTCCCCGGAATTGCCGTAAACAAACAGCAAGTAATTCACACTTCCAATCATATGGAGACTTTATTTAGAATTGATCTAGAATGGTTAGCTCATTCATACTACCCATACAAATACACGTTTTTGTGATTTTCAAACATGTTTTTAGATGGACTGCTTTAACTTGGTATTGAATGTATAGGAACCGCGCTATAGACTGCACGCTCAATTATATCTATGCAGCGTTGTCATTTACGCCAGCGGTAAAATTTACAAGTGTGGGCACACTATTGATCGATAATCTCAGGGTGCATTTACTGGTGGTTAAATGATTTTTAAGTGCTATCAATTCCTTGGCTCCGACACGCTTTTCTGTTTATACGAAAAGGGTGTCTGAAGCTTACCCCATTAAATTGACTTTTCGAGGTTCAGCAGAAATATCTACAAATACCTAATTTGCTTTTTTTTATAATTTTTTTTTATTCATAATTTAAGTGCCGATTAATTAGGCTATACCCACAAGATCTGTTGAAAATTTTCGAATGAAACTAAAAATTGACATTTTTTTTTTTTTCAAAAGATTAGAAATGTTCTTGATTTTTGAGTGTTTCGAAACTACCATATGTTGGGTTAAAATCGTTTTAGCGTGGTTACAAAGACATGCGAACAAAGGCAAAAAAAGACATAAAGAAGTATTACCACGAAAAAGCTACCTGAAAAAAATTCCGTCAAAGTGTCTTTATTATGTCTCTTATTATTACCACTAAAAACCTTAAGTCAATTGTAAAATATGGGCTTTAGAGAAAAATTGAAAAACTAGTTTTAACATAAGATCAAAAGCTAGAGAAAAAAAAAAGCTCAATGCTGGAAAAATACTCAAAACCCGCTATACATAAAGACAGATTTAACTATTATATTAGTAGATAAGTATTGAGTTTTCCCACCTTCGTTGGAATTTTATCCACCTGAATATCAACACCATACCTGAATTATCCTGTATGTTACAATCAATGCAGAGGCTTTGAGCCAGCAGTACGCAGGTGTCAAGGCAGAATTGCTAAAGTGATAGCCAACATTGGTAACATGTTTTTGACAACAAAATCTTTCAGCTGAGATTTGGGATAAGACGAAGGAGACGGTGAGCGACGGAGCTAAGACGATTGGACAACATGCAGAGAAGTTTGGAAGTAACGTAGGTGACTTTGTTTAATTCTTAATTATTCGATATCTGAACATATGACTATTTGGCCACCTTTCCCTAAGTAGTATATTTGAACTTGTGTTTGTCCTTGTTTTAGGACAATGGTTCACTTATTGCCTGGCTTTTTATTGACATAGTTCTTGACATAGCCTATACATTTGATTAAACTATTAAAATTCATTTGTAGTCCTCAGTGTATCTGAGATGCTCAAAATTTTCAGTATCTCCAACGCATTCGCTCACGGATGTATCGCTTCGTAGTTGATTGTTTGAGTTTCGACATACTCTATGTAAAAATACTTCGATCTGTTGTCGAAATCCACCTAAATAGAGTACGTTTGGATTAATGAGAAAGAATAATATATGCAATTCCATTTTGTGTGTACCTTACCATCTAATATCCATAGGCAAAGGAAACGGCCGAGAAGTTGTTTAAGAACGCGAAGACCGAAGTCGGAATCACTCCTGATAAGGAGTCATAAACGCGCATCGGCTACGCTCATCGAACCTATTGCAGTTTTGTCTACACGAACATCAAACACCAATCGATGTAAAAATTAACTGCGATTCATCTAGCGGTTCATATAGCTCCTGTGAACAAATGCCTTACAAAACTATTATTAAATGTTTCTATAACCATTCAAACTATCAAACGTGAGATAACAGCAATTCAAAAAAAAGAAGCAAAGATGGAGGAAGATGTTGTGAATCGATTGCGTGAGGTGCTAGCTACTACTGCAGCTTTTTACGTAAAATTATTTATACGAGAGAAGAGAGAAAAAAATACATCTTCTAAAACGACTAACTTACGCCTGCTTTGTGTACGTTATGACCTATTTACTTAAGCAATTATCTTTTCCTTGAAGAAATTCTAGATGTACTGTTTCCGCAATTACTCAGCTCATAAGCTTCTAGAACTTTGAATTGAACCGCTCCGATCAGGGCAGTTATGCAATGGTTAGTTATGGGTACTAACAAGTTTGCCTTAAGTAGATATAGAATGAAAATTGTTTAGTTGGAAAAATAGCATCGATTTTCCAAATTAATTTTCGGGTTTGCGAATGATAAAGTATTCCATGTGATCTAAGTTGTGTGGAAGAAAACGTGAAATCTCAATGGAAAGTCATCCTTTATCTACTTCCTAATTCCGTTAGCTTGTAGCGAGCTTTTGTTTATTAGCAAATCTTTTTATGGTGACTGGCAATGATCACTTCGTCATTGGAGCAGTTGACGCTAGATTACTGCGTTTTAATCCCTTCAATTTTCAGCACAGAGTTTTCTTCGAGCGAGAATGAACGATCACACTTGCTTGCTTGACGCGCTCTATATGCATATGTATTTTCCTTTAAAAGATCTAACCTGTCTTTTTCGTGGCCACGGCCACATGCAAAATCAATCTGCACTTTTGTGTAAGTTGATGAGAGGGCAATATGAGCTATTCAAAGTGAAGATCGTTCTTCAGTCACCTAACACCAGCGAGTTTAACATACATAGATGACTCAACGACCTCGACTGATACATTCTCACTCGCAATCTCTTCGAGATGCCGCGTTCCATTCACAAACGCCACGTCTATGGGGTTGAGTCAATTAGAACACCTTTTTGCGACCCAGAAACTTTTGTAAAGATGAGCCAAACAACATGAAAGTTTTATTAGAATTTTTGATTTAGACAACACATACATGTTGACGAACGGGAATATAAGTGATTTAGGCGATCATAGTCTCTGTGCTGAGCGTATATTAGCCCAGAATTGCGTTAACAAATTGTTGTGTGCTGTAGCACTTTACGTTTCATGTTATGAAATCATGTAACGTAAGACACAAAGAAAATAGTCATCTCGACGAGAGTCTGCTGCACCTTCCTTGCGATTCGTAGCAGGACGGTTCAGGCGTAATACAGATATCAGTATTTATGAACTTATAACGAGTCCCACCATTCCTTTTTTTGACCTTTCCTAGACCTTTTTTTTTTGAATGTTTTACTTCGAATACTATGTTTGCTTTCTTGAATTGAAATTCTGAAGTGCGAAGGCTCGCTCAAAGCTGTGGATCAATTCCTTATTACCAGGAACACTTCAGCTCAAAGCAATATGAGGTGTATCAGTTGACTGAAGTATTTCTTAATCGCATAGTTCGGCAACCGCTTCTTTAAGTTTCCACTCCAAATCTGCTTAATAGTTCCTCCATGCCTATGTTCCCCACCATTATTATTCTTTAACTTGTCACGAGGCAGCAGATCATTTTATAAAACGCATAGCTTGATATGGTAGAAGCGCTAGCCAACAATGCTTTGTTATACAGTATGAGACTTCGCTACGTAAGTCATTACTATAACAACTCAGACGCATGCAGCCAGCGTCCTAAAGCGTCCAGCTGGCTCAGCTATAGAGACGGCTTTGAGAAGTTAAAAATAAAATTGAATAGTATCTGTCAATCTTAACGAAACAAATGTTTGCCCACGTATCGCTGTCCTACTACATTGATCACAGCATCCTTCTGTATCGTGCAAGTAGCAATATCTTGGCTAGATAGTACTATTCCTCGCCTACTTGGCGTCCAGATATGTGGCAGACGTTTCCACTTGGACGGGCATCTTCATGTAGCTATTACATGTAGGTATTACTGCAGCACTCTATTCACAGCAACCTGTAGAAAGTGTATTGACGAAGTTCCCCATTGTTTACGGCATTCACCTACGGACTGGCAATGGATTGTTCCTTTAGGAGTTGCTAAAAACTATTCAAGTCATAACGTGTAGTGGAAAAACATTAGATTTTGACGATAATTAAATAGAAACATTCAAAACTTAGTGGCGTTTATACCAGTCGATATTTATGATGTGTTTTAGGATGAAATTAGACATAGATTGACCTTGTCATTCTTATCTTCCTTAGCGAAGATGCTTTCTGCAACTGCCTATTTTTGTCTCCGGTAAAGTTTATTAACAGTCAGCTTGAAAATGTCTGTATTTATCTCTCCATCAGAGTCCAGTGTTGCAATATCCTTGCGGATTTCTTCAAATGAAGACTCTTCATAGGTTCGGAACAATTCCTCCAAACCAAGCTTATGGTAAATTGACCTAACGGTTGCTTCCTCCTCGCCAGCTGTACCATCGCGTTTGTCAAACCAAATAAAATAAATACAGCCCATTTAGAACCAAGCTAAAATATGTACAGTTTCTGAAAATGAATCTATATTGTGGGTCGTCAGTTCCTATAATTATATAAAAAGGTAAATGACCATCTGTGTTTGCTTTATCCGCAAAGCAATTAAAGAGGGAGTATATTTTTTCTACAAGTGGCCTTTAAAAAAAGCCGCTAAAGGGATTGAGTATAGGTGAATGCTACTAATTATGTTCACGTCAGAACGGCAGTAGGTCATTATCAGATCTACTAATATTGCTATGTTGTGATTTGACAACAACTATGTAAACCGGATTTAACGAAGTGAAGAATTGTTCGATGAAGTACGGTGTTATGGTGACAGTACACCGCTTGATGCCGTGTACTGCTCGACAAGGACGAACTTACCAGGCTTTCCCCGGCCAATGTTATTGAAAATCTCTTCACGCTGTTGAGGGGTGGCTATTTGCAGTGCTTTTACTAACAACCACGAGCACTTCGCGTCGACGATGTCCGTTCCCACCTTCCGCCAAACAATAGATTTACGTTAACATGCAAGGTGATATATGGCGCATAAATATCTACGTCAGTGGTAAAGTCACGAGTTGACCGTACGAACGGTATTTAACAACAAAATAATCTATTTTAACGGCGACTAGTTCACTAGCCAGTGGACGCCGTCTATTGTCGGCTTGCACAAACCCTTTTAATAAAGAACTTTGGATAATAAACTTTTAATTGTCATATAAACCCTAAAACTTAAATATCGATCTGAAAATTCATTAGCAGCAGTCACGTCTCCGTTACAGAATAATCAACGGAAGTATAGGTAGTGTTGCTTTTCTTGATAAGCTTTATTTTCCCGCTCTCTTATGCTAGTATATAAGATACAAGGATTCCGCTTCCTGCCTTATTGAACTGAATTGCGTGTAACAGATGGTCGAGAATATGAATTTTTTTCTGTTTCCTGATAATCCTTTTGAACATCTTCGTATATTTGTTCTGTGTAGGGAAATTCTCGAAATCTTTTCAGTGTGGCATTAATTGTCTGCTCCTATCAGAAAGTCTACCCAGGGTGAGTCTTGCCGCATTTACTTGGGCTTTCTCCAACAAACATACAAAATAGCATATAACACCATATACCTTAGAAACCATCTAATTTGAACGTCTGTGATTATTATTATGATAACACAGTAAGAGACACACATTTACACTACGGTGCCCTCAAGCCAGTAATAGCACTTGCTATATATTTCAGAGTTCTATATGGTAATGAAACAACGTCACAACGGTCACCTACAGACTAAGACCTTTCTAAGAAACTACGTCCTTCCATGTTCTCTGATAGCCACTAGGTCATTCGCCAAGCATTACCTAGACATTATTAGGAAGTACTTGCGACTGCTTTCAAATAGACGGTTGACGTAGATTGTAGTTCGGTCTGGTTGAAAGTTATTTGTGTACTAAGCAGAAACGAATGTATCCGAATTTTCTCTATCAAATAACGGAAAATATCCTTTATATCTAATCTATTATTTTGCTTCAGTTTGTATGTGCGTTGATAGACATATGTCAGCGCGGCAGACTAGACAGCCGAATTTCTAGTTGAAAAAGATTAGGGGCCGCTGCTTCATGTTCCGCCAACGACATACGGTTTATTTAAATCGTATAAGATCTCGTGCTTTCTAGAAAAAATCTCGTAAACATTTGCTGCGAACAAGGAAACTAAGCTGAGAAGCGACCATTAATGGTAGTCAATAGCCCAACTTGCAGGAAAAATTGTACCAGCGCGTGTTGCTAATTTGCAGATACGTACCTTGCCGAGTTTAGCTGGGTCCCCGTAACAGTCAAGGAAATCATCTTGAACCTATCCGAGTTCCAAACAATAAGACAACTCTTTTTTTACGTGTGGCAAAAGCAATATAGTCATCGATGGTAAAAATTACTTTTACGCGATTTCTCAAAAGGAAATTGTCACCAGTGTTCATTAGCATATGTCCTTAGAGAAGGCGATAATTTGGCCAAATTTCAGAAATGAACTGGCCAGAGATCAGTACATAACGATCATGTACTGATGGCTATAGTTTCGCACTCTTAACTAACACACACATGCCGTAGAATATGAGTCTTGCAGATGCCTAGAGCTCGTTGGTTGTAACTAGTAGTAGTAGTAGTAGACTTTGTTGCTATAGAAAAAAGATTAAAGGACGACACTCTAGACCTTCTCGATAACGTCCTGTTTGCAACGTACTAGATATTAGCTCAGCTTCACCTATTCTCAAAGTAGGATTTTTTTCGTTTGCTAATTTGCAGATAACTATACCTAGTCAGTGAAAACCGACATGTTGAAACATTCTCTAAAGCTAATTTAGGTAAACGGTGATGCCAAATCATTCCAGCGATTCTAGGCCATGCTACAAAAGGATATCCTAGTTTGATGAAGTATTAGTGGACGTTCACTAATGAGAAGGTATTAGATCAAACATCATGTTCCGAACTGGGCCTGCCGTATGTGTCGCAATGGTGCCATGTAGCTTCGAGCATTATTGCAATAACGAGAATACAGCATGTGAAAGTTATTGGATGAGCATTAATGAACGGTGTTCTTTAGCACAGCACGCACGACCTACCTGGAAAATGTTTCCTATTTTAACGGCCAGCTTCTCAACTTTCCGGTGCAACTGTGAGCTGGTGATTTTGGCTAAATACATTCCGAGTCGAATTGGAACAGAAAATGTATAGAAGCACGTCTGCAAGGGAACAAGTTAATAGTAGGGAAACAGCAAAGATCAGGTTCTAAAAAACCACCATTAAATTGTTCTTCAAGGATGCGTTCGAAAATAAAGACGGAACTAGTATTGGCTTAAGGAGTCTCAATGTGATGTCACAGCTCAGGTTTGGTAACTGCCGATTAACACTTGTTACATTTGCAAGGTTTTTATA